TAATATATTTAAGCTCGAAAAACACTTAATTGTTTAGTATTTTAAAGCAGATTTTTGTGTTTAGTGCATTTTCTAATGGTACTTTTAAATGCTAACTAACAAAAAATGGCAACACAAAATGATATTACAGGGATAATTACAGATTTTCTGTTCTTTTCGTTTCTAGAATTCCGCTCATCATTCTTTAGAGGAGGAATATTTGCCACATGCGACACCAGAGCCAGCAGCTCCTGTACCTGAAGATGACTTCCAGCCTGACCATCTCACTGAGGAATCCAATGATGAGTACGAATGCACCTCCCCAGATGACATCTCCCTACCTCCTTTATCCGAGACTCCAGAATCCAACATTATTCAGTTAGAAAATGACCTTGATGACGGCTATCGCGTGAGCTCTCACAGCCCTCGCATTAACCAGTACAGCCACCAGTCTCACTCCCAGCACGGCGACACACTACACCAGAGGCAGCGGGAGTGGATGTCGAGTCAGGCCGAGAGCTACCCATCTCCCACCACTGGCTTGGGGGCCAGGTTCAGAGCAGAGTCGTCCTCTTTTGTTCAAAGCCCCCTCACAGTACCTGCCCCTAGCCTTGTATCAAACACCATATCCAACATCTTAAAAAGCAAATCTGGCAACCTACCACCAAGCAGCATCACTGAAACACTTCACTCAGTGCATGAGAGTCGTATCGAGATGCAAAAGTGTGTGCATGATTCTAGTACGAGTCTAGGTCGGCCCAATAACACGCATGCTACCCCTACTCCATTAACCACAGAGCAGGACTCGGATCTCTGCAAGCCCACAGCCATCCGAGAGGAGATCAGACGGGCATCTTCCAAAAAGGTTATGGGAAAATTGGCAGGCGGCACAGGCCCTAACTTCTCCAAATCCTTGTCTAATGCCACAGTAATGGAGGGCTCTCCGGTGACCCTGGAGGTGGAAGTCACTGGATTCCCTGAGCCTACGTTAACCTGGTGGGTAGCTTATAACAAACTTGACCCATAATTTAAAACATTCTTTGCTAATTGGAGGAGGAACTAGGCATTATTTCTTTATATAATATTCTATATGAATATTAATATCTATTAATAATATACATTATTACACATTTAAATAATATAATACAATATGATATTTACTACTGTTCAAATGGGTCAGTAAGTAATAAGAAAGCACCAAATCTTTCTTTCTTGAGCAACAAATCAGCATATTAAAATGTTTTCTGAATGATCATGTAATTCTGGAGTAATGGCTGCTTAACAATTAGCTTTGCCATTATAGGAATAAATTCTGTTTCAAAATATATCCAAATAGAAAACAGTTACTTTAATTTGTAATATATGTCACAATATTAATGTTTTTACAGTTTTTTAATCAGATAAATCGAATAAATGCCGCCTTGGTGAGCATAAGAGACTTCTTTTTAACAAAATAAAATTGTACCAGCAGGAAGCTTTTGAACAGTAGTGTAGTATATAGGGATTATTAATAATCTAAATGCTATTGTATCTAAATGGGTGGCAAATTCTCATTATAAAACATACTGATTGATATTCCAGTTGTTAAAAACTTAATCACAAAGCATAGTATTTGTAGTTCAGTTAGATTAACAAATATATACATATATATTTTTGTCTGCCTGCATGCAGCAGGTTTGTTGAGGAAAGTTGATGTTTTCTCCATTAATTTTGATCTCATTTCACTTTAATTATTTTTTTCCACTGTCATGCATATATTCCATGTATACTAATTTATTAATCCACAATTCCTTTCTCTAAACCTTCCTTTTTATGTAACTTCTGTAGGACCTTCCACTTTAACATTACCTCTAATTTCTCTTTCATTGAGTGTGTATTCATGTGTGCCCCCCCACACTTTTTTTTTTTGTTTTTTTGCTGTGGTGTGATTGTGACACATAATAATTCACTCTTTGTTCAGGTTCAAGAATGGACACAAACTGGCCAATGATGAGCACATAGAACTATCCCATAAAGAAGGCAAACATGCATTGTTCATTCACAGCTCTGCAGTGAGAGACTCTGGGCAGTATGTGGTCACTGCCTCTAACTCAGCCGGCACTGTCACGTCCAGCTCCATGCTGCAGGTCAAAGGTAACAACAGCCCTGACTTAGACATTCTCAAACTGGACTGGCACACCTGCTTCGGCACCCTCTGTTTCTTCTTGTGTCTTCTCTATCTGCTGTTGTTATAATGGACACTGCCATTAACATAAGGAAAAGCACATGGACGTGGACTCTTCACTTTTAAACTTTCTTCACGTCACATAACCATTGGTGTGCACAGAATTAACTGTCTTTGGTGACTGCACAAATGTAAGAGCACATAGTTGATATGAAACTTCATCTAAAACTATTCTAAACTAGCAGTTTAGTAATTATTTTAGAATTATAATGCATGCAGCTCTTATGATATTGTTTGAAAGACTACATTTGAATATTTGTAGTTTTAAAAATTAATCTGTCACACTGTAGGACCTTTCGGTGAACTTGTGAAGGCAAAAAGTGTTTTGAAATGGTGGTTAGGCACAGGACCTAAATATATATTTTATATACAGTATACACTCATAAATGTTAACATACATTTTTTTTGTTAATTGTTCCTTTTTTTATATAATTGACATGCATCAACTACCCACAGATTTGTTCATTTTGGCTATGAACACTAAAATCACTATAACAATGTTTTTCAATATATTCAAATTCAGCATGAACTGAATTATTTTGTGTTTTTATTATGGAATTATATTATGGAAGTAGCCGTGGATCTGCATGCAGTTCCCTTTGTGATGGTAATGAAGCCTTGGTCAGCATTTTACAATTAAATTATTTATTTTTAAAGAGTTTGTGTGTTCATTTTAAACAAACCCATTGCTAAATGGTTCAAAAAGGAAAATTCGGGCATCATTTACTTTCCCTCATGTCCAAAAAAAATAAAAAAAATAAATATATATATATATATATATATATATATACACACACGCATATATAGTTTTGTTGTTGTTTTTTGGCCGTACAATTAAACTAAATGGGATCAAATAAAATAAAAACAGACATTTTTTCCAAATATCTTCATTTGTGTTCAACAGAAGAAATAGAATTGTGATGACAGAATTTTGCATTTTGAGGGAACTATACATCTGGTGTTAACATTTGTTCTATTTTGTTATATTTACTGAACTTTTCATGATTACGATGATAAAAGATAACTCAATCACACAGTTATATATGTTATCACGCACAGCATAACTCAGGGCTCTCAGGTTACACCTTTGCTTCACTGCTATGTCGCCCTACTGAGAAGGTGTCTGAGGCGTCATTCCACACCCGATTCAGAAACAGCTGTCGCACAGACATGGGCCCTGTACTTTTAACTTTACTTCTTTACTTACTGCTTTTCTTTCCCAACAGTAAACAATAAAGGCAGCTTTGAAAAACCAATGCATGCTTATTGAGGCTCAAGCTGGAGTATGACAACCCTTTTTGAATTATAAAAGCTTTGTTAGCCCGTTTTTTGTTTGAGATAATGATGTGATCATTCCTGCTTCATCTTTTCAGTGCAGTAAATCACAATGTAACCTGATTTCCTCAGTGTACAGGGTCACTCCACGCTTCCTCTCCAGACCGGATGAACAGAATTTATTAGTGGAAGAAGACCTCGGCTCACACTGCACTTATTCTCAAATGCTATGCAAGAAAGATTATAAGGTTGCAGCATGTGATGAGAGCCAAGTGAGTCAAACAGCATGCAAAGTCTGAAACCACTAGCATTCTGCAATTGTTTCATTGTCACCATACTTTTGAGAGGGACATAATGGAAGGAAGAAAATGTGTCCACTGGTACAATAGACACATTAAAATAAATAAATACATTTTTTTTAACAGAAGCCAAAACCATCATAAAGGCCACTGATTATGGAACATACTGTATAAGAATGATCTGGAAAACCCATTATCACTCATCAGATACTGTATAGGGGAAAAACTTTGGATATCAGAGTTCACCGAGCCTGATCTTCTCATTCTTTGTGAATTATTCCTAATTATAATATCTGTAACACTGTTGTTTGCTACTGATAAGTTGGTATACATTGCCTTGCAAAAGTATTCTGTATCCAATACCAATAAATGTCATATGCACATTCTGAACAAAAATAAACAACTTAAAAACAGCTGTGACTAAGTTGTTCAGTGCTTGTTGCTGAAAGTGGACAAATTTGTCAAATTCATCAGAATTGATCTTTATATATGTAAGTGTTTATGTATGAGGTATGAATGAAGACAAATTAGCTATATAAAGCAATATGATTTGTTATAGTTAAAGCTGTCACATTTTGTCATTAGATTGTTGTCTCACAAAAGTCCTTGTCAGTGCTATCACTAGTCATGCATTCCACTCTTACATGTCACTGCCTATCTTTAACACTGTCTCCTCTATCAGTTTTTTTTTATTTTTGCTGCAAAACCAACTTGGTCCCACAATGACGGTAACGTTAATAATATAATATAATATCAACTTCTGTTTTTCAAAGCATTAACAATCCTCACTGCAATTTGCCTCACTATACAGATAAAAAAAAGAAAGACAGATGGGTAAACACTGTTTTATCGTTTATCTTGAACACCCAGAGTCTGAGTGACAGTGACAGCCCTTCTCCCCCATTTGGCTTTTCACTTCTTGAGGATCAACATGTTGTTACAGTGATTGATTCATTTATGAGATAAAGCAAGTGAAGATTTCTCTCTTTCTGAGGGGCATTTTCCTGTTTCTTTAGGTGTGGGGGTTTCAGCCACCCTGTGATAATGGGTCCTGCGTTGTGTAAAGTAAAGTGGGTGACAGGTGTGAGCTTGCATGAAATGGCTTCTACCTCCCATGATGCCTCATGGGGGACGACCAATGGGGCACGGCAATGTAGTGATGATGCTGATTAGCCAAGGGGTATATAAAGTAAAACCACCATGTTAACACTTCTGAGCAGTTGGAGCATTCCCAGCCTTGCCTCGGGTGTAGGGATTGCAAGGGAAAAAGCAAAACTACACGGATAAGACCCTGTGTAGTTTTGTTTTTTGGGGATAGTTCGAGGCTCAACCGTTCTCACACTGTGTTTTCTGAAATCATATCTGGATAAGGACTTTGTTTCAGAAGACAAAACCCTTTGGGCTCCGTCCCTCCAATTCAAGGCACTCTTGTGGATACAAGTAAGTACGCTTTGTGCTCTTGTACCCATGTGTCAGTGCAATGCTTTCTAATGATGCTTTTTGTGTGTGCTTCTAACAAAGAAACAGAGTGGCAATACCAAATTTGATGTTCACTTTGAGAGATTTAGTAGGAAGGGGACAGATTTTAAGCAATTAGAATACATTTTCATTTGCTTTTGACTTAAGAGGTTTCATTTCTAAAGGTTATTAAATGGTGCAGTGATTTCAGAATAGCCAAGAATAGCCTGTGATAACATTAGAGTGGTGACCCAGCTGGGCCATGATGTCTTTTTAAGGGAATCAGCAGCAGAGATATCAGTTGCACCGCCAGCTATGTGCCACATGGTGACTGTCAATCAAGCTTAGTACTGACTATTTTTAGAGGATTCCTTTTGTGACACTGGGTTTCGTGTGCTTAGGACATTAATTGCAGTTTAAATGAATTTTCTTAATGTTTTTTTTAGAAACTTCAGCCTTGTTGTACTGAGGATCTTAAGTCTGTGATTTTCAGGTTGTGGTTCTTGAAGTTGATATATGGGGTGTTTGCTAACGTCTACAATAATTATTTTTGATATTGGTGAACTTGGTTGTACTTTTAAATTATTGCTATGGTTAAGCCATTCACAGGATGATATAATTTATTTTTAAACAATTTAATAAATGATAATGTATGTCAAATTATTCTGCCTGAAACATGAAGTGCTAGTCTTGTTAAAAAGTGCAATAAAAGTACAGAGATGTTGTTGTGGTTGTATATTTCAAAGCAATGCTTTCATTTGAAGTTTTCATTTTGATTTATCTTTATGAATTTAATTATGTAAATGATCTAAGATACTGTATGTAGTATCAAACTATTTAGTGATAGCTATCCAGGTAACTACCCTATTTATTATATACAAACATAGCAGTACTTTTACAGTAAATTACTTCCATATGAACTATATCTGAATTCAGTTCAGTCACAGTTGTTCTATCTATTTTAGGTAAAGGTCATGCATCTAGCAGTTCCTGTCAGCCATTTTAAATTCTAATTATATACAAGTTCTCTTATTCAAATAACTTTTTTTCTTCTTCAGACAGTCAATACTTGTGAATCTTAAATGCAGAGCATTTCAACCTTACAGTTTAAGATTATGTGATTATGTAGTATGTTTATGAATAAAATCTTAGTATTGCTTGGCAGAAGACCAGTTGTTCAATTCAGCATTGACAATGAGTCACAAGTTGAATTAAGATGCGTAAGCCACTGATTTAGATTCGTTTTTGGTCGTGACAAGATTTGATGATACAGGACTGTCTGTCTTATAACTGGAGGGCTATTCTTAATTATGCGTCATGCCGGAAAAAGATCTCACCGCGGGCCACAGGCACCAGTTGTTACTGTCATGTCCCATAAGCTGTCAGTTGATATGAGGCCCAAATGTTTTGGCCTAACACCCAGTGGAGCTATTGAATCTCAAGTGACAGGCCAGCTTCTACCAGGTTGTCAGGGATCAAACTAATGATCAGTCTGTTTAAACACAGCTAAAAGTACTGTTTGTATTTTTTTGAATTAAGATATTTTTTTCTATGCTATAACTATCATTTTATTCTATGTCTTCCTTTAGGGTGCCTTCCACCATGTCGACACAGGCACCAACATTTACACAGCCGCTTCAGAGCGTTGTGGCACTTGAGGGTAGTGCTGCAACGTTCGAAGCTCAAATTAGTGGTAAGAATGTTTCCCACTTTGCCATTCCATTGCTGATATGTATTCTTCTTGACTCTTTTACACCCGAGTGTACAACGTGAAATAAGTTAAAGGAATGTTTGTGTTTACACAGTGCTGCAGATTTACATGACTTAGCATTTATGAGTTTATCTGAATCGGCGTTTTCCAAAGGGGGTCTGCAGAAGCACCGCAGGGGATTCAGCCATTATTGTTTGATCTCAATCTTTTTCATAAATTACTTTTATTTATAAATAAATGAAACCAAAAAAAATCATACAAATGAATGCAATAAAATGCATTCATAAAAACAAATGCATAAAAAAAAAACAATTCATTCATAAAAAAGCTCAAGTTTAGCTGAATGTAACCCACAAATAAAATGCAGTAAATTATTTATTTGAATATGCAATGTTTCAGCATCATAATAAAGCTATGTAATAAATGCATTATTATGATACTATATGCATGTTCAGTCAGAATTTAAACGAAACACTAAATACAATACAATATGCAACAGTGACCTCCAGCTCCATCTTTCTATCCACTAAGGAGACATGAATTTTGACTATGGATTAAGAAATGTATGTGTCAAAGCCTAGATAAAATATTTGATAATATAATCCACAGGTAATCCAGTTCCAGAGGTGAGCTGGTTTCGTGATGGCCAGGTTCTTACTGCTGCCGCTCTGCCCGGCGCTCAGATCTCGTTCAGCGATGGCCGCGCTGTTCTGATGATCCCCGCTGTGACAGCCGCACACAGTGGAAGATTTTCTGTGAGAGCCACCAATGGTGCTGGACAAGCCACTAGCACTGCTGAACTGCTGGTTACAGGTAACATCACAACATAACATGCACCTTGATTTTAGCTATTGTCATTAGAGAGGAAAAAAAAAACACTCATAAGTTTTCCTGCCAAAATACTACTAAAATTTGTGCTACTGCACTCAAATGTTATCTGCCTCACTGGATAATGATTGAAGTGATTACAGTTTAATTTGTAGCCGTTATCAAATAAGAGTCATGAATTCCCCCTCGGTATTCTGGCGCTTTTGAGTAGAGCGACAGTAAGCAAATATGTGGATTAACTGCTAGGCTCATAAAGTTAATGACTGTTACTTCTTATAGAAAGTGGTAAAGATCTCCAGTGATACTGTTAAATGACACATCCAGGCTACCATTGCTAGGGGAATTTATGGAAAGGAATGTGTGTCACCTTTTTACAGTGCTTGAAAGGTGGCGCTGTATTGACAGGGGATTGAAATATGGGGGTTTTGGGGGCATCTGACCCCTTTAATAAAGCCTTGAACCCCAGCCCCTTACCTAGGAAGTCAAAGCAAAAAACATTTACAAGTATATACAGGTTTAACAACATTTTTAAATAACATTTTAGTGTAGAGACACTATATTTTTTTAAGTAAGTTTAATAAGTTGAACTTATTTGAACGCCTTGTCGTGAGTGAGACGCTACAAAAGACACGAAATTTAAACATCCGTTGATTCGTTAGTTCTGATTCTAAACAGTTGATAATCATACACATGATGCTATTGCTTAAATATTATCAGGAAAAATGACTTGATTATCAGGTTGGTATACGGTAATCTCCACCATCAGACAAGAATTTATCAGTATTTTATGGGGTACAGTACATCTGTCAAATATATCTACTGCCATTATTTATGACTTCATTTTTATTTGTATCGCAAAAATTTTAAAAAGAAAGGAATTGAAAATTCCCTTAAATTGTCCGAGTAAAGGTAATCTTATTATTCCCACACTGTAAATTGATATTCTCATATTTTCTGTAACTTCTCTTCTTCTTTCTTCACAATTTTCTGGAATTATTTCAGCTTTAATAACTTACATTTAACCTTTGTTTTTTGGGTAATTTCAGTCTTCTAAAAATACATTATCTGTGCTAATAGTGCTATCTATTTTTGGTGTTTGTAAACTGTAAAGAAAGTATTTAACTTTGATAATATCCATCTGAATGTACAACTTTTGCTGTCTTGCAAGCACTAATATTTTCTTCAGGAAATGAAAATCTTCTTTTAAAAAATAATTTAAAGGTCCCTTTAAAATAGATTTATGTGCATTTATATTGAACATGCAAGGCAAGGTTTATTTTATCCTCTAAAATAGAATGTGTGAAACTGTTCTGTTAAATTTCAGAAAAATCACTTAATGGCTTTAACCATCTATTCACTTCCAGCTGAAACTGCGCCACCAAACTTCATTCAGAGACTACAGAGTATGACTGTGAGACAAGGGAGCCAAGTGAGACTAGATGTTCGAGTGACAGGAATCCCTGCACCTGTGGTCAAGTTCTACAGAGAGGGAGCTGAGATTCAGAGCTCTGCTGACTTTCAGATTGTTCAAGACGGAGACCTTTACAGTTTGTTGATTGCCGAGGCCTTCCCAGAAGATTCTGGAACTTATTCCGTCAGTGCTTCTAACAGCAGTGGACGTGCAACTTCAACTGCTGAGTTGCTTGTTCAAGGTAAGATTTTTAGCTGGTGAACATTTGTTGCATGCATTTTTATTTTTATGAAAAAAATGCCTGGACAAGATTTTCATTAATAATTCACAGGTGAAGAAGAAGCTGTACCTGCAAAGAAGCCAAAAACGATTATTTCAGCCTCTCAGATTTCACAGACCCGACAGACTAGAGTGGAGAAGGTGAGTGACAGTCTCAACATTGAATAAGCCTCAGCAGTCTTTCAGAAAGCAACACAAGTCTCATTAACCGTTTAGATCAATGCGTAAATTGTTATGTTTTTTTTCTAACAGAGGATGGAAGCTCATTATGAGGCCACAGCCATGATGCACATGCAAGTAGAGGGTGGGGTTGTGACCAAACAGCTGGCACATAAGACTCCACCTCGTGTGCCGCCTAAACCAACCTCCAAATCCCCCCCTTCACAAGTGACTAAAGTGTCAGCTGCTCGCCAGCAGTCTCCCTCTCCTGTGAGGCATGTTAAGGGCCCGACACCCACTCCTGTCAGGTAATGTGTCTAAAGTGTCCAGATTTACATTTAAGACAATTCATGTAATACATTTTATTGGCCTATAAACCCATGTTGATTTGATGATGGTATTAAAGTAATAACTTCATAAAATAGCAACTTTATATCAATACACTTGAGACTTTTTGTTCATTACAAAAGGTTCATACATAAAGAAATAAATAGCACTTTTGAGAAATATGTGTACATATATATGCGTGCATATATAGTTAAACGATATGCATGCACTTTATATTGATTATGCAGATTTCAGTCATATCAGTGAGTGACAGAAAAAGCTGTTTTATTTTACATGGCGCAAGTCGCCCCCTTATGGGGGTTGCCATGTTGACAGCATATGACCAACTTGTTGTCTTGTTGTTTAATGTTATTAGCACCACTACTAATTACTACTACTACTAATAATAATTAATTATTTACTAAAATATAATTAAAAAAAATATATTATTTCAAGATTTAAGTTTAACATTTATATGAATATTTAAGGGAAAGTGTATATCTTACTGTGTAGGTCCTGTAACTTGTCACTTCTTTTAGGCTTTTTGTTTTTAACGTTTCTACCTTCTCTAGTTAAATTTAAAGATCTCCCGCAGTATGACAAATTACATTTCTAATACTAATATTATATGTAGTCTTTCAGGTAATGTTTACATACAATCTTCAAGGGATAGTTCACCCAAAAATGAATTAATTACTCACCCTCGTGTCGTTCCAAACCTGTAAGACCTTCGTTCATCTTCGCAACACAAATTAAGATATTTTTGATTAAATCTGAGAGTTTTCTGACCCTGCATAGATAGCAAGGAAACTACCACGTTCAAAGCCCAGAAACATAGTAAGTCATCGTTAAAATAGTCCATGTGACATCAGTGGTTCAACAGTATTTTTATGAAGCTATGAGAATACTTTTTTGTGCACAAAGAAAACAAAAATAATGACTTATTCAATGATTTCTTCTCTTCTGTGTCAGTCTCCGCGGCCATTCACAAGAGTACCGCGACGCATGCGTGTGGTGCACTGTTGCCAAATCTCGCGAGACAAATAAGCAACCACAGCTTTAAAAACAAGCCCAAAACAAGCCCAATATTTTTTTGATGATTTATTATCATCAATATCTATTTATTATCAATTATTTATTACCAATCAATTAGCCTGCAAGATATTAAACTGAAACCACTCTTTTATCTGAAAAGCAATTAACTATGTTACAAAAATCAGCAAACTGCAACAAAAGGGGGAACAAAGGTCATCTCCAATCACCTGTGTGCAGAATAGGATTGGAGAGATGGAAAAGGAGAAAAACACAAGAGCTTCAAAGAGGAGCTGTAACATAGCCACATATTTATTGCCTACTAAAATATAGGCTATTCGAACCATATTTACTCTTAGTATTAGTATAGGACTAATTGTTTTTTATTACATCCCGTGATAATTAATACATTACAAAAACATTGTAAAAATGTAAAATTATTAGGCTAAAAGAAAGTCATCCCAAGCGCCTTTTTTGAACGTGATTTTTCTCCAATGAGGGGGAAGAAGGGGCGGAACATTTGGCAAATTATGCTGCAGCACTTATATTAGGCTTGTTTGATATGCGCCTCGCCTCGCCTGAAATGAAGGCGAGAGTAGGCGGCAGTGTTGCCAATTTAGCTACTTTGTAGCTAGATTTAGCGACTTCCCCGCCCCTTTTGAGACTTTTTTCAAAAGTTTAGGGACAAATATAGCAACTGCTTGGACAAACCTTATCTAAGTTCTCATCTTGCTACTTTCAAGTTGGCAACACTGGTAGGCGGCTGCAGTTAGGGGAGGAGTGAAATAAGCGCAGTCAAGACAGTCAAGACGGCCCTCTCGAAGTGGAACAGATACCAATGAGATCAAAGGCGGATATCGCGTTATTCTCACTCACATGCTGTGTTGCTAATAAACACGATATAATTTCAGTTCTGTTGCTTTTATATGAAAATAAATATGATGAACAAGACACTCAAAGTGCTTGCTATTTAATTCCAAACGAAAGGTGTATTTATCATCCATTTTTACTTTAATACAAACATGTATTTTAGATTTTTATAGAAATATGACAACAATCACATTATCTCA